CAAGTATGTTAATCCAAAAAAAATTTACACCGCAAATGATATAATAGAGGACATACAAAAGAAACACGGGATTGAAGTGAGCTACATGAAAGCATGGAGAGCTAAAGAGATAGCAATGGAAATGATAAGAGGGAATCCAAACGATTCATATAAGGAGTTGCCGAGGTATTTGTATATGTTGGAGCATACAAATCCAGGAACGGTTCAAAGTTGCACAAATCAGAAGATGGATGCTTTCTTTATGCATATGTTTCGCTATATGCATCTATCAAGGGTTGGGAGAATTGCAAACCGATAATGGTTTGACGGAAGTTTCTTTAAAGTCGCATATAAGGGTACCATATTGACTGCTTGCACACAGGATGGAGCTGGTGAGTTGATTGCATCTACCTTGTTTCTGCAGTTTGTATAATATTGTAGTTTCATGTATAAAAGTGTATAGGATTTCACAGCTGTTGTTTTTATAAAATTTGCAGTTTGTATAAAGTTGTATAATCGTGTATAACTATGTATAAGATTTGTATAATTGTATGAATCCTAATATCTATTTTGTATAAACAGGAAAAATCCTTCCAATTGCATATGCAAGTGTAGATTCAGAGAATAACAAATCTTGGGAGTGGTTCTTCGTCCAGATAAAGGGTACTTTTGGTGTTAGGGAAGGGATGTGTATAGTTTCAGATAGAAATGAAAGCATCTTCAATTCCACAAAAGCTGTGTACCCAGAAGTACCACATTGTATTTGCATGTTTCATTTGTGGCAGAATGTCAAGCGCACATTCAAGAAACATCACAAACAATTGAAGGATATCTTCTTTGCTTTGTCTAGAGCTTACACGATAGAAAAGTTTGACTACTATATGACAGAGATGTGCAAAATTGATCCAAAAGTGCAGCCTTACTTGTTCGAAATTGGCTACGAAAGGTGGTCTAGGGCATACTCCAAAGTAAAAAGGTTGATGGTAATGACTTCCAATATTGCAGAGTCAATTAATGCAGCAAACAAGGATGCTAGAGAGTTACCAGTAATGCAATTGCTGGAGTACATGACAAATTTGCTACAACAGTGGAACAACAAAAACAGAAAAAGTGAAATGGAGACATCTACAGAGCTTGGCGAAAAGTACGACAAACTCTTTCGGGAAAATCTGATTACATCGGAGCAAATGACGGTAAAACGAATCAAATATAATGATGTTTGGCACTGCTGACTTGCATTTTACTGCTTGTATAAAGATGTATAACTCTATATAATAATGTATAATGTGCTTTAACTTTGCAGGTGAGGCTTGTTACGGTGCAGTTATATACTGTGCTTGAAGGGGTAAGGCGAAACATAGTGTGCCTTGAAGAGGGAACATGCAGTTGCGGCAAATTTCAAATGGATAAACTTCCATGTTCGCATGCTTGGGCGGTTTTGAAGAACCAGCAGCTGAAACCTGGCCAGTATTGCTCTTTTTACTACAAGAAGGATAACCTCCTTAGAACTTATGAATTTTCAGTAAATCCGATGTCAGATGAGAGTTTATGAGTAATCCCAACAGAGGTGTTGGAAGATGTGGTCCTACCACCTAAAGGGAGAAGGAATGCAGGAAGGCCAAGAAAGGAAAGACTCAAACCTGCTTCAGAGAAAGAGTCTAAGAGGGCGTTTTCATGTTTTGTGTGTGGACAAAGTGGTCACAATAGAAAAATATGGAAGCCGAAATCTCCGCTAGTGCGGCAGCAACTTGGCGACTAGGACCGTGCGAAGCCGGGGTTTGAGGAATAGAATCGGCCTGAGCAGGTTCACTTGCAGCCACAGCGAGTACGGGCCCGGCCGAAATACCCAACTGGCGAAAAGCAGGCGTAGGATCCCTCTCCCTACTTGAAGCCCGCTGACCTACAAACGAAGAAAGATAAATAAGAGACAGGATAGAGAGGATGATATAAAGGTCAAAAGAATCAAAGTCAAAGGTAACTCAGCGGTCGCAGGTCTACGCCCAAACCTCTCATTAAAGTGAGACCACTCGCGAATCCCCACAGTATGAGGCAAAATCTGACTCACCTAGTCACGAATGTCAACGACTGGCAAAGGAGGATCGCGCTCGGCTGCAAAAAGGTAAGGAGAACGATTAGATCGCCCAAAATAAACAACAAAGTCATTTGGGAGAAAAACACTTACGAGCAAAGTTCCACTCCTCGGGGAATCCACTAGGGTTTGATACCATATGCTCTGTCTTCGTGTAGAAGAAATTTTCCCAAAAACGACGATTAGTTTTATCGTCCATCTTTACCAAAAACTTATTGGTCCCGTGGTGGCGCATATGAATCACCGTGCCCCTATGAAAACTTGGGACGAAGAGGTGAAACAGATGGCGGAGAGAAATACCACGGTTGGCCAGCTCCGCGTACTTGATAAGCATAAGGAAAAGCTTGTATATGTACTGAGAGAGATGAGCCGGGCACATATTGTAAAAACGGCAAAAATGTTCCGCCAAGGAAGGAAGAGGAAGTGTGTAGCCAACAACGAAGGGGTACGCGAAAAATGCGCAGTACCCTAGTCGATGTATTTGCACTACATCACTACTAGCAGGGATGATTTCAACGTGGGTCGGGATTCGCCACTTAGCCCAAAATGCAGCAATCGTCGCCGCATCCATCTCATAAACGACGGGTTCAGGTTCACCTTCCGGTGGGTTTTTGAAGTCTGACCTGGCCTTCCCCGAACGTGGAATTATCTCATCCACGGTGGGGAAGTTCTCGTCTTCTACCATGGTTGATCCTTCTTTATGAGGAGGTATGTCCACAGCAAACATTATAGGATCAGAGAAAGCACTAGCCATTTTCCTGATTGTATGTAAAAAGGAGATGCAAAGATGGAGGAGATAATAATAGCCGAAGATGCTAAAGGGAGAAAGAAAACACAGACGCTGGAATCTTGAAGAAGGAAAAACTCGGGTTTCAAAGGCTCTAGAAATGCAACAGTTCAAATGAGGAATACCTATCCCTATTTATAAGAATATGGGCACCCCAATCGAGAAAGCCCAAACACCGCCTCATTAATTTCAAAATGGAAGAGGCGCGGGAAACAATGTAACATATTGGGAACATGCGCCATAATGACGCATGATGAAATGATGTCATTTCAAACTGATGTAACGGTCAAGTGTGGCTCTTGAAGCGCCACGTCATCACCTCGCCATAAAAGGGTCACTCCTCGGCCAACGTGCTCAAATTTTTTCAAAATTGCAACTGGCGAAGTCCGCCCACCGAGCTCGTCCAAAAACAACCCCGACGGACAGAGAAACTAACTGTATGGGTCAAAATCTAATCGAAGGGACCTCGCCTGAAATAAGGAAATCAAGAATCATTTAGGCCGAGGTCATGCTCAAGAAGCAACACTGGCGAGCTGAGCAGCGAATGTCGAGGTCGAGCACTCAGATCGGCCAAAACGGCTAGTTTAGCAATAAGATATTTCTAAAGTATATTCAGAGGAATATTCTCTATATTTGTACTTTCAGTAGGTAAGGGGAATATCTCATAGAAGTAAGAATAGAAAGAGAAAGAAGGGGGATCTAATTTTCTATCTTGATAAGCTCTCTCTAGAAAAATTGACTCTCACATAACTACAAACATTATCTTTATACAAGATTCGATTTGCTGTGTTGTTCCAAGCTTTCCCACGTCAAATCCGATAAAGTATTTGATATTCCCATGTTTGGTTATCTTACATCATTGTCAGAGGGAGAATCATCCACCTCGTTATACATTTGGGTGAATTATTCTCTTTGTTTACAGCTATTGTCATTCATCATATTTATTGCTTGTCCTCATTCCCTCATTTATTCAAAGAATATCATTAAATCTCCTTTTGGCTTTTAATAGCTTTAAATGCGGTTTCTAGATTATTACTATCCATCAATCTTGGATCTAGGACTTATTATATTTAACTAGAATTTACCTATTATCATTTACTTAATTAGTTTAACAAAAATATTTAACACTTTTTGGTCAAACAATAAACAGAATAATACCAAGTATGATGTATAACTAATACTTGTATTAGTTATACATAGGTTGAAAAAATGTAACAAACAAGGTATTAGTAATCCACAGAGCTAATGCTTGCATTATTTTTTTCAAATACCTCCTACCAAATGACCCCTAAGAGGTAGCTAGGTAGGATGTATTAGAGAAAATAATATATGTATTAATTGTGATATTCTTAATCCCTTGTTTATCCCACTTTGTGGGATTTTACTGAGTAGTTGTTGTTGTTGCTGTTGTTAATCCCTTGTTTGATAAGATTTTTCAACATGTGTATAACTAATACAATTCTTATACATAATAAATTGTGACATTAACAAAACCGTAAATTTTAATGCATGAATAAGCATATATATAAAGACAGAACTACATTTTCATAATCTTTGTCAAATCCTTTTCCAAACCGTCAGAGGATATTTGTGTAAACAAATAATTTTTTAAAAAAGCTATACATGCAATGCATATTATTTTTAATACAGCAAATCAAGCAGTATAAAAAATAATCTTGATATAACTAATCACGACATATCTAATGTCAACATTACTAATCTCAATAATAGTAATATACCTTATTCACTACTATTCTTATACACCTTACCAAATAACACCGAACACTTCTACGTAAAATCAGATTTCCATCTTTCCTTTTCTTTTCTTTTCATTTTTTTTTTCCTTTTTATTTTCATCTTCTGCACCGCTGGTACGAAACCCCCTCCTTTCCCCCAAAGTGACCAATATCTCTAGCCCCAAAAAATCAAAGGCTGATCGCTTTGTCTCCTTGACTTTCTTATTTCATACAAATCCACCTCCTTTGTTTGCTTTAATCTTTTTTGAACAATAAAGCTCTCTTCCATCTGTCATAATATAAATTTTTTGTTTGAATTTCAAACCATAGGGTCCACAGAGTCACGTGAAGGAAGAAGAAGCAAATACTCATGTTTGGCATGCTTCTGTACTGTACTTCATTGAGAAGAGAATCAAAACTGAAAGAGGAAAGGCAGTCGTGATTCAATTGTAGTGATAATTAATGCTGATGTTTCACTAGAAAGGAAATAGCTACTCTGTAACCTACCAAATATATTAAACGTTTTTGTTTTGTAGTGTGATAATAAAATATACCCCATAATTATCGAATTTTTACAGCTGTTTACCATAAATGTTGCATAATTTACAAGGGAGCCAAAAGAGATAAGCCAATCTCGCTCCTTAAAACCACCAACCATTCACTCACAAGTAAAAAAAACTTATTTGCAACTTGATATTTGTATTACAGATTATGTGTGTTTGTAGATATTTTTTTTATTTTTTTTTACTTAATAATTGTTAATTTATTCGCAACTGCTTTATTTTCATTTTTAGAAACCAACTCCTTACGTGAAGTTCACGGTAAGAGTAAGGGTAAAGGTAAGATCTGCGTATACACTACCTTTCTCATACTTTGCTTGTAGGATTATACTTGAATTTGTTGTTATTGTAGTACTTAATAATGGTTAATATTTGTTCACTCCATATATAATACCTTCCTATGCCATATATGAAACCTTATTACCCTCAATGTTTAAGGTTTGTGTTAATTACATTTCAGCATACCAAATTACCATTTATATACCATAATTCAAATTAGGGATATAATTAAGGGTGCATTTATATTAGGCGCTAATTTAGGACCGTATCTTCCCACATTTATCTTTACCCGTCTCTCCCCCAACCACCCCCCCCCCTTTGGAGATGGACATTAGCATCAATAATCTTCAGATTAGTTCTCATTTACTTCCCCAAAAATCTTAACTTAGCGACCGTATCTTCAGATTAGTTCTTATTTACCAATTCTCTATTTACACGTACAAAACATCAATGTATCGTTATTTTCATTGACCTCTTTTTTTTGTTTTTTTTTTGGGCAGTGGCTGAAGGTTACTGGTTAACACAAACGATTGAAACTCGAAGAAGAAGAAGACATATTTCCAGAAATTGTAAATAAATTGTATAAAAATTAGAAAAATTGTAGATAAAGTGTAGACTGTTTTTTGCACAAGATTTTGTAGAAGCTTTAGTCGTTTTGAATTTGTGAAAACAGAAAACAAAGCATCTACAATCAGAATACAAATAATCTACAATTTATCTACAAGATATCTACAAAATGAATATATTGAATTTTAATATCCCAATTCCCATTTGAATTGTAGCATAATTGGCATTTTTGACATAATTGTAGAAGATTTATAGAAGTTTTAGTCTTCCCAATCTACAATTTATCTACAATTATCTACAATTCTACAATTTAACTATAATTTATCTACAATTTCTGGAAATATGTCTTCTTCTTCTTCTTCTTCTACTTCTTCTTCTTCTTCTTCTTCTTTTTCGAGTTTCAATCTGAAATTCAGTCAAAATGAAGTCTAATCTTCAGCAAAACCCTTCAAAATTGAGATATAAACTCCTAAAAATATTCCGAATTATTTACAACAACACCCAATCCAAACAAATAATGATTTTTGAGAACCCAAATTTGAATTCAAAGCTTTCAAGCTTTTTAATGGCTATCAATGGTGGAAAATATATGGAAGAACAGATGAAGATGNAACAGAAATCTCCTTTCCGTTTCAATATTCTTCTCCTAAATCTGTTCAGAATATTCACGCCAAATGTGTTCAGAATATTCTTCTCCTAAAATTTAGCTCGCATAAATAGGAAGATACAACTGCTATTAATTAGCTTTTAATGATTGGTACAAAAACTGTAGAAATAATGTGGACTGGGTGAATAATTTAAAAATTATGCACATTTTTGGTAATAAGGTTTCATATATGGTATAGATAAGAAAAAATCCCTATAATATATACTTGATGATTAACAAAATTACAAATCAGTAGAGAAAAAGATTTTCTTTAATTATATTTTTTGTAAATACTTTTTAGCTATATTGAATTATACTAACTATTGTGACTTATAATATTTTTAATATAATTATTTAAATATGTAAATTTTCTTTCAAAAGTTTGAACATTTTTGAGACTGCATTCACATTGAAAGTTAGTTACTTTGACCCTCATATTTCGAACTTTATCACATAAAGTGAAAAAGAGGAAGTATATAGTATCGCTTAATTAAATAACTTAATCATGGTAAGTTGATAGTAAACACTGAATATAATTTGAAAGAATTACAAGAAAATACACATGACTTCACACCATAACAAAAAATAGTTAAAATATCATGGTATAGCCAGTTTTCACACTGGTCAATGAAAAATAGTCAGCGTTTATCAAGTCAATGAAAAATAGCCACTATTTTGCTGCAACAGGGACCGGTCCAGTATAATATACGGGAGTTCTGGTGCATTTGTGTACGAACTCCAGCATATTATGCTGGACCGGTATACTTTGCTAACTCCTGTAAAATTTGCGGGAGACTGGAGCACCAGTGATCTAAACTCCAGTATATTATACTGGACAATTATACTTGCTGGAACTCCCGTATAATTTGCGGGAGTTCCAGCATAATTATGCTTGAACTCCCGTAAAATTTGCGGGAGTTCCAGCATAGTTATCCTGGAACTCCCGTAAAATTTACGGGAGTTCAAGCATACTTATGCTGGACCTCCCGTAAAATTTGCGGGCGTATTTTTTCGAATTTTGAACAGTATTTTCGCTCAGATTTAAAGTGGCTAAATTTCGATGACTTTTGAAACTTGGCTATTTTTCAACGACCAGTGGTAAATCTGGCTATTTTTGAATTTCTCCCCAAAAAATGGCCCATGTTTTTAAGTTTTACCCCACCTAGCCCACATTGTACAATTTCGAAAGCACTTGCAAATTCAAAATATATGTTTTTACAACAATTGCTTCTAAAAGCTATGGAGTTAATTCTTTGTTCTCACAACTATTGCTTTCACTCTCTCTTCTTCTCACATCTTTTACATATGCTTCAAAGGACCGTGTATTTTTTGCTTCTCCTCTTGTGTCACCTGCTTGCAATGAAAGAAAATTGAAGAGTAGAAGTCCACCATTGAAGATCATTCAAAGCTTTGCTTTTGAAAATGGGTTGTTTTGAATTTGTTAGTTGTTTGGATAGGGTATTGTTCCAATTGATTGGAAATATCAAAAGGAGTACAAAATTTAAATTTGAAGTGATTTGGAGTAGATTTGAGCAAGATTTGAATTAAATTTCAGAAAAGACACAAGAAAGAAGACGAAGTCAGTTTTTTGTATAATTATGTATAATCTTGTATAATATTGTATATGAGTGTAGAAACACACCTTATACACTGTTATACACTTTATACACCTTTATACAAGCGTCTGTAGACGAACTTCTTCCACGATTTTCAGTTGCAATTCTTATTCAAAACCAGTCCAAATCTCCATTAAATGACTTCAAATTTTATATACAACCTCCTTATACTATTTCTAACAAGTCTAAATAACACCCACTCCAAATTTTTCATAAAATCAAATTCGAAATTTAAACCCGCATATTTAAGCTTGTTAAAAATCTAATTTTCACCACCCAAATGAAGTTGGTTTGTTGAATTAATATTTGAGTCACAATTACTGATTCGAAAAGTAATTTAAAAGCTTGAGGAATCTTTTTTAAAAATTAAATAGTAATTTTGAGAACCTATTGGAGTTGGATGTTGAATCTTAGCCTATTATTTATGGGCTAGTTGGTTGTAAATTGAAATATGGGCTATAAAATTGAAAAGTATGGAGCCCAGTTGTTCTAATGTGAAATTTTTCCCATATAATTTTACCTCACAACCCCCCCCCCCCCCCCCCCCCCTCTCCCTCCACTTATCTCACACGCAAGTTGTTTTTGAAAAAAAATATATTATACATAGGGGTAAGGGAAGGGATGAAGGAAGGAATTATAAGATAGAGGATCAAAAGGGTTAGTTTTGTGGCTCTTTACAAAACTTATTTTTAGTTTTATGACCCTATATTTTTTTTTATACATGTGAGATTTACTTTTACACATAAGAGATCTATTTTTCCATCTAAGATATCTAAAAAAATCATTTTCTTTAATTATAAATTGTAAAGTGACATGATATACAAATAACACAAAATCTAAGTAGTCAACCAACTGAACTACTAAAATTCCCAAAACATGCTCTTTTGTGTCACTTCAATTGCTTTCTTAATTAAAATTGTCTTTTAATTATCTCTTTCTATATTCAAAAGTAGTTTCAAGTCTATTTGTTACTTCTCCTCTGTTTTTATAAATCCCTTTGCTTCAAAAATTGAAAGCTCTTGCTTCTTGGTTTTCCAGTTGACTGCGAGTCTCTTGCGGAAGAGTTTTCGTTGGTTTTCTCTTTTATCCAGGTGACTAGTGTCTATGTAGTTTGTAAAAGCTGTGGAAGTTCAGTCTGTAATTTTCATTGTGACAACGAAGATTGTCTTTTAACATACACGTATATGCATTTGACTATTCAATTGGTTGGGTTTAGTTTCTAGGTATCTTCTAGTGCTTGTGCATTTTTTTTAACTGAAGAAAATTGTGGTTTAATGTTGATTGATGCAGGTGCGTATTTTGAAAGATGGATTTGTGCGAGGCCTCTGTTCCGAGGAGGCGGACCAGACAACAATGGGATAAATACTTTCTTGAGTTGTACGAGAAAAAGAAGGGGTTGAGTCAAAGTGATAATCCTCCTGAGACTTACTGGATGAAAACAAAGATGAAAAAATGGACAAAGGGAAAAACAGTGTAAACGATAGGAAGAGGGTCGAAATGTCTGATGAAAAGGAAGGTAGTGAGAGACATCATTATCATTAAGTACGCTGAGGCAATAGCATAAGAGAAGGGCTTTTCATACTTCTTATTTTCTTTTGGTAGTAGTTGTAACGGTGTACGATAGACTCTTGTGGTCCGGCCATTTTCTGAATTCCGCGCATAGCAAGAGCTTAGTACACTGCGTAATTGTAATGGTGTGTTGGGATAAGTTTGTGCCTAACTCGTTGTATTCCATCAGATACCTGTTGCTACTTGCACCATACATATATTAGGTAATTGGCAAAACGTAAGTATTTTTTTTTGGTTTTCTTTTAGGAATGTAGAAAATGAGGCACTCCTCTAGTACCAACTCGGTAGTAGTCAGAGCATTCAAGTGTTCACGAAATAATTAACAGGAGCAATGAAATCTATTATAGATAAGGCTACTCCCCGGTCCATTTTAGTTGTCATGTTTCTCTTTTATATGTTCCTTAAAAATTTATTAACAAGAAGGGCTTTTTGACTACTATACCCTTATTTACTCGTCACATTAGATTTTCTATGCTATGTAATTAATATTTTACTTTCAAGAACAATTAATAATTGGGGATAAATGAGAAAAAAATAACAAATTATACCTAGATTTTCTGAAATTATAAGCATTTTTGACCAGTTACTTTTAATAACCACGACAACTAAATGGACCAGTGGGAGTATTTGTTACTGCTTTTTCCAAGATTGTTAATTATCATCGAATCAAAAGCTTCCCAATCCTGTTATTGTATAACATGTTTTCAAGTAATATATCATATACTAGCACTTGTTTTTTGTCTCTTTCTACTAAATTTTATACATATGAAAAAACACCTAGGTTTTTTGGTCTCTTATAAATAATTAAACTCCAATATCCCTGGTTCATTCCAACTCTATTAATCACTAGCTATTACCCTTCGGTGCAAGCTATCTTAGACTCATGTCAACTATGAAGGATTAATACACAGAAAAGTCTCTCTATTTGTAATACAATTGTAAAATCATCATTAATTATTTTTTCAACTATAAAGTCACTAAACTTTCACTTAATTTTCTAAAATCTTTCTTGCCAAAATCCAGTGAAGTTGACTGAAAAATATCCTATTTTAGAAGGGAAAAAAAATATCATTGTAAACCTAAAAAGCTCCATGACCTAAATAAATCACTCAGACCAGAAAACCTATCCGTGAGATTAGAGAACGCATATCCTAACATGTGAGATTAAAAATATCATATTTTGACCTATCATCCTTTCTATGGGTTTATTTATTTACTATCAATACACAGAGACCGATAGGACGTTCCTTAACTTGTGGAAGTTTGACTTATTAGCAACAACAAGCCCAATGAAATCTCACAAGTATCTGGGAAGGGTAACGCGTACATTGAGAAGGTAGAGATGTTGTTTCCGGTAGACCCTCGGCTCAAGGAAAGATGGAAAAAAAACAAGCGGATGAAGAAGTTTACTTATTAGCAAATTCTTAAATTATTGAAAAGATGGAGTCGTCGAGCTAACTTTTGAAGATATGTTGAATCTGTGGAAGGAAGAACAACTTAATTTCTGAAAGAAAAAGCACGCACTCGTTGTCTATGCTTTCACCCAAAATGAGAGCTTAGATACTGACATTTATGAAAAAGATGGAGGAATAAGAGAGTGGCTGAGACAGTTCATATGGACATCATCTGTATGTTGGTGTGAGAATAGAGCACTTCACATGGACATCATAGCCCGTAACATAATGCTCAAACTTAAACATTTAGTGCTTAGTTCGGAGGTATTGAATTAGCCAACACAGTTTAGAGCGGAAAGACTCACGGCTAAACTAAAGAGATTGCTGGAACTCCAGGTTGCACGGCTCCTGATAACTTTTTGCATAGGCCTATCAACATTGAGATTTGCGATGCCTATGTGTGCTCATGTTTTAAGCTCCCTGAAAGTGAAACCTGGAAACCAATATGAGAGTAATTATAGTCGAACTAGACGTGTATAAGATTGGAAGGATCATCAAGCTCATGGATATTCTATTAAATAGACAATTTCGGGAGTAAGCTGAAGGTGTTTTCATGTAAGGCTTGGACTACTGCCATCTCAACCATCACAAAGGCCCAATATGAGAACTGTTTTCACAGGTTCAGTTAGGGGATGCAATTCCACCACTAATATCAGCAATAACCTTCATTTGTAAGTAGCTAGAGGAAACTATAAGTAATTCTGCCCGGCTTCCCCAACTTACGCTACTTGTAGCCCAAGCCAGAGTCTAACAATCATATGCTCTGTCTGCAGACTCTGAGGAACCTCCACAAAGTTCCTGAATGTTAGACTATTGGAATTGAAATAATAGAACACCATCGGGTTGAAGACGTATTTTATTTTAGTTACTTCAAAGAGGAAGTCTTCGGAGAATGAGGAGGGATGTCACACCTTGAAAGATTGTTGCCCTGATTGATAAAAAGCGAGCACCTGACTGAAGATGTATTTTTCGCATTCTACTGTAAATTGAAGTACATTAGCACAAGGTCTTCATTTTACTACCGTTGCAGCTTAGAGGTTAAAGTTCTCTCACGCTGACAATGAATGCACCAATTACTTGACCAAAAAGATACCATCAGTAAATTGCATCTTTCCAAGTACTTTTTAAGAAAACAAGATGATGATCATGTATAATCAATTTGTACGGTCAAGTCCTGTATCCCTAATTCATGGTATAATTCATGCACATATTGCAAAATAGGCCGATCGTCAACTCCCTCCTTTACCTGTTCAACAATTAACCATAAAAGAGTGAGTTTTGGGAAGCCATCAAGTAGAGCAGCACTGTGTATCTTAGAAATGACTTTATCAGCATAAAGCAGACAAGTCATGTGTATCCTATAAATGACATTATAGAAGCACAGGTATTACTGTTGCACACCATAAAGTCGGGTATAATCACCTGCAATAAAATTGATCCAATAACATGGCCAGGCACCAGTTCCCAAAAACGAGCTTGAGAAACTTCTGAAACATCTTCACGAGATGAAACCTAAGCACATTTGAAGCAAAATATTAAAGATATGCAGTTTGGAAATGATGCAGTATGTATAAGAGAATGGAACATTCTATACTCATAAACCAGGACCCCAATGCTATTACACCATTGTTAAAACCAACAATCCTGCTACTCTACCCCCACCAGGAAACAATTTTTTCTTTTTTCCCAAGAGAGCTAGCACATCCAATAAAATTCATCTGCGGGACAATATAGCCCCACAATGTAAATTTTCCGATTATATTTGAAACGTTTGCTTTCATTTCAAAGCATAACAGCCGCTGCCACCATACTCTTATAAACAATACTCTATCTCCACCCCTAGTTAGCTAATATCACCAAGTAACATATGTCAGTGGGAAAAAAACACGCTATCCATCCTTACTAGTGTTGTCAAGGGCTCTCACTTGAAGCACACTTAACCCATGAAGTTAGGTACAGAACAGGTGTGCCTTCACTTCGCTTGGACTACGGTGTGTCATCACCCATGGGCTCTATCTTTCAAAGAGTGGTACTAAACCACAACACTATACCTAAATGCAAATTTTTTAAGTTCTTTTGTAATTTGTCTATATAATCGTGGTTTGGGTTTATAGTTATTCTTTTGAAGTACATACTCCTTTTGTCCTTTTTCTCATTTGCACCTTTCTTCATTAAAGCATGCACTTTATTTATGGTTAAAGCCCTAGTAGACTTCAGCATTTATTCGCTTTTCGCCTTCAATAATACTAATCTTTACCACCATCACTATAACCAGTCACCTCAGATATCACATCATTTCAACCTGGCCTAGTTTTACACTCCTAATGACCCCCATCATTACTATTGAATATGGTGAGCTTACAGGATTTGGCACAACTTTTATATTGAATTGAAATGGTTTGTGATAATTTTACCTGTCTCAAGCATTTGCCCAAGGCTGAAGACGGGATCCTTGGGGGTGCCATTTGGAGCAAGATGCCACCAGTAGCTCTGAAGAGTGGCATGACGAGGAAAAAAACTATGGCGGAAACTAGTCCCAAACATAAGACTTCAGCATTCTTCACTCTGAAGAAAGAAAAAACAAGAGTTAAGCCAGCAAACAACTTTGCTTCTTTATCGGGCCATCTATGGCCATGAATATCAAGAAAAACAACTATTGCCGTGAAGCAAAGAAAATTTACCCAAGTGTCAACAGCCAGGAAGCCAGGATCAGACCTGCACTGATAAATAAAAGGGTATAGAAAAGCTTAAGATTTACGAAACCAGGACAGAGAATAAGATATTTGAGATATCGAGTAATTGATAAGATAGCATCTGAACCATGGATCCAGTTCATGTAATGAGCTATACAGGGTAATCGCGTACCTGCGAATTGAATCAGCCAGTACATGCAAGCAAACAGCGTGATAATTCATATCTTCAGCTTTTCTATAGACTGCAGGCAAAATAGCACATCAGGAATCTTCAACAAACCCAATGAAGTCAGGATAGTTTAAGTAGCTCAACTGGAAAAGGCTTCTTAAAATATTGAAACCCATATTGTATTTAGAAACTCTAGATTCTGCTCAACCATAGGAAATGAAACAAATGAATCTGAAAATTTCTCCCCAATAGGCTTGCAGCTTGCTTAACTGATATCACATTACTGTGAAACATAGACTGCTATTATCATTTTTGGAAATTTATAATTAAGATCTTTCGGAAAATAGTGCACAAGTATTCTGGTGAATCTCTGCTTAGACTATTTTTTTCTTTATTTTGGAATGTAAAAAAATATTAAGGCTCCTATAGACTTTCTTTCTGCTGATGTAGACATCTTTAGTCAAAAAGGATTTAAAACTTTACTTTTAAGATAGCATTGTCTTTCGTCAAGGACTAACATCATTAAAAAGTTATCCCTTGGGTTTTTATGTTGATCATAGATTGGTTAAATACTTCAAAGAGAGAACTTAGCTCTTAACTTATCCACTCCTCGCAATGAACATCGACCATGATTAATTTCCAAAAGGGAAGGATAATCTATGATACATGAGAATCTCTCTCTCTCTCTCTCTCTCTCTCACACACACACACACACACACTCTGGAGGAGGGAGCAATAGAATTTTGATCACAAGCAGGAGGCTTACCAAGATTAATACGTGCATAGTTCCTGAAGAACAAAACACCAATGAGATTCACCAGCAAGTTTGTGACAGCAGAGACAATCAAGTAATGCCTACATGCAGACTTCAATCAGGCACAGTATAACAATATTCACAACAACAATTTACACAAAACCTTCAGAAACAGCCAAAAGTCTGCCTAAAGTGACAATCATTTTTCCCTAAGAACTTAGAAGGCAAAATTAGTTAAACGGAGCCCTGCCAGTTCCAGATAAGGGAATAGACCCAAATTTCTTTCCCTTTGATTTCAACCCACGAAAATGCTAAGAATGAGTTTAAGTGGAGGCGATGGCCTATTTGGATTTTTAAAAACTTTTGGGCTGATTTAAAACCTAACAAATAAAGGTCCAATTTTGGCTCCAAACACCTGGGTCCTCTAATTAAAAGGCCTTTGACCAAGACTCAATTGAGGAACCAGATACCAACTTTTAATCCTTCAATATATAGACCCCTTCTAGGATTAGCGATAATTAATCTAATCACCATTAAGTAATGAAATAGACAAGTTAAAAGGGAACTCCAAAGTTTTAAAACATACAAAGTGGTCCAACTATAATTATTGATAATTTGCTAAAGTGGAAACATCCCCCCCCCACCCACTTCTTCTTCCACCACTGCCGCCTTTCTACCCTCTCCCAGCTCGTCCATTTTTGTTCTTCAAGCGGTTGGTGTTAGTTCTAGATTAAGAAAGTTGTTCGGTGTTCCTGTTATTTTAAGAAAATTGCATATTAAGTTCATTAATGTGTTGGTCTATGAGAGGTTACCATCTGGTCTTTCGTAGATTTTAGTGAGAAAAGAATCCTTATACCACCTAAAATCGGAAAGGGTTTTACACTTGATATTGTTGAGTATCTCAGAGGATCTTTCTCTGAAGATACCCGGACTTCCTATGAATGTCTTGATAATGGTGTTAATAAGGGTATTGGTAGAGTCAGGAATGGTTTGGCCATCTTTAAAGATTGGTTCTCCCGTTCAATTAACTCGGACAGCTAGGAAGATTTTTTGTTTATCCTCTTCACTAAGATGGGTATCCCACCAACCTTTGAGTTGACCTGTAAATCATGCTACTAAAACATGGATAGTAAGCTAGTTAGAACAATTATGGGAAGTTCTATATGCAGTGGCTACTATGATCCATTCGTAGATATTATTGGCATTGTAATTGTCGTGCATGACATTGGGTTTTTTTCCAAAGACTACATCTAGATGGGTAGCTCTAGGATAATAGAGTTTTTGGGGTTTACGTCAGTTGGAAAAGTCCGCAGGGGCAACTTCTAGAGAAGGATTGTCATGAAGTTGGTCGGTATGGGAATCCGTTTCTTCATCGGTATCAACTTCTCTAAGAACATGTACTCCAGAGGCTTTTGAGGTGACATCCCCGGTTCCTTTAGAGGGAGTGTCGGGAATAATCAAAGTTTTTCCGATTTCTAGGACCCTACGTTGTAGATCAGAGAGTTCAGAAGAATATGTAGATTGGTACACATGGAGTTCCTTTGCAAAAGCTTTAGGGATCTCATAAGGTTTGTTAAGGGGATAGAAGAAGTAGGGGTTTCTACTATCTTAGAATCCACTTAAGTAGGTACAATTCGTTTTGAAATCAGATATTCACCCGAAGTTTGTAAATATTTGTTTGTATAATTATTTTGTTCAAATATATTTTTTATATCTTGCTAGTAACAGCTTCATTTTCAGCTTTAAGTTTGAAAGGTGCTGCTAAAATTGGCTAATTAGCATAATTTGTTGAAAATCCTTATGATGGAAGAAGTTCAAAAATAACTTCGTCTCCGGTAGAAGTTTTCCAGACTTTTGAAACGTTAATAGACTCGAAGAAAGGAAAATCAAATTGGTGTAATTCAGCATAAGCTTCAAACCATTCAAAGAAATTAATTTGTTCTTAAATGAAGTTCAAAGACTCATAGTAAATATTTTGAAGATCTTTTCTTTCGTCTCCTTGAAAACTCCGAAAAAAACCAAGTTCTTTTGAAAATGTTTTCATGTGAATACAAATTTGCTCGTGTTGGCTATAAATAGCCCCCTCGACCGGCACGGTATAGGGGTGTCTGGAATAATCAAAAATATCAGTGGATTCTAAGATAGTAGAAAACTTTACTTCTTCTATCACATTATTCGAACCTCATGATCCCTAAAGCTTTTGCTAAGGAACTCCATATGTACCAATCAACAGATTCTTCAAACTCTCTGATCTACAGCGTAGGATCCTACAAATTAAAAATATATGTATCCTACACTTCAAGTGTGCTTTGCGCTTAAAGCTCCAATAGACCTAGAGCGCTTTTTAGAGCTTTTCGTCTTTGACAACACTATTGCCTAACATAACAGGATCACAAAATAATTTCTTCATCCAGAAACTTAATTACACCAACAGATTGAAGAAAAAAATCTCACCAGCAAAGCATTACCATAGAACAACAAAAACTTCAGTTTTTTCACCAAAGCAACAGAGATTGAAGGAAAAAATATAGCAATTTGTTCGCAAAGCATCACAGAAGCATATTATTACAAAGGCGTTGCTTGAAGAAAAAAATCTCTCCATTTTGTGATAAAGCAGTTGGGCAAGTGGTCCTCTTGTGGCTATACTTTTGCAGCTTGATCATTATTTCTCTTCTTTTAAGATACATATGTTTCCCCGAAATCTTTAGTCTGGCTTCGACCCTTTTGCGTGGTGGAGCATTTTTTTCACGGAAGCTAGCCTCAATGCATTTACTAATGCCTTATTAGTGAAAGTTTGCCACGAAAAAACATGTTTCGCCAAGATGACTGGCTGGGATGTTGCAGCACACTGCATATGACCAAAATTGCTGAAAACAACAGGTTACTCGAGGTCTCATCATTATTTTCCAGACAATCACTATTCACACGAGATTCTCCAAAATCATCTCTGTGAGTATATCCTTCATCGAATGGTCGTAGTGGTGGTGGTAGAGGTGGCATTGCATTAGTGGTGGTGGTGGTAGTGATGCTGCTACAGCATTTGAAGATCAACCACAATTATCTTTAGAAGGGATGTAGAACCATCCCTAACAGCATCAAGAAGATATAAATTGGACATGATTATGTCTTTATGAATTGAGGAGCTATTTTTCCCCTTATAGGCGCAGAACTAATCGTATAACTAATCGACACGTCGCTCGGCGAGCATTTCAAATGGCAACTTTCAATGACTCTTTCAACCAACCCTTTATAGGTAGCTTGCCTACTCAGTGCAATTGGTACTATCACCTTTGAACGCCTAATCCAATAACTTGGAGTCTCCATCCATTCACCCAAATAATCTCCACCCACTACTACAAAGTCTTCCATACCATCTAGACTAAAGTTAATACAACAATAAATTATTTGTACTAAACTAAGAATGACTTCAACCTGATAAACCAACTGGACTGAGGCTAATAAAATAAGAAGACTAGGGCTAAAGAAGGGTCGATTACTTGGTACAATAAATCTGAAGAACCGGAAAATCAGATCCTCACAATTGCAAAGCAACAAGAGATTTTACAACTAACTAGATGAAAAAATCAAGGAATATATCTATTATAATTAATGACCAAGCAATTGCACTCAGAAAAATACTCTCCAATATCGGAAATTTGAGTAAAGCTTTCTGGAAGAAAAATAGATATATCCGAGCAGGATAAAGGGGACGAATAGAAGGAGCTATAGAGGCTTTTGGACAAGGAAGAAATGCAAATAGAACCACTGAGTTTGAGCAATTTTACGACCTAGAACGTGCTGTGAGAGGAAAGAAATACGGCAATGGTGGAAGAAGGAAGCAGCAGTGAGGAGGAAGAAGCGGTGGAGAAGCAAGGGACTTTTTTTCCATTTTTGGCAAATTATCAATAATTATATTTGGACCACCTTGTATTTTTTAGAACTTTGAGACTGCCTTTTAACTTGTCCATTTCATTACTTAATGTGATCAAATTAATTATCACTAATCCTAAAAGAGGTCTATATATTGTAGGATTAAAACTAAGGGTCTAACTCCTCAATTGAGTTTTGGTCAAAGGCCTTTTAATTAGAGGACCCAATTTATAAAACTAAAGGTTAATATTGCAATTATGTCCCTCGCTCATATTCTCTAAGAAGAAAGCTTCTTGAGTTTAAGATTGGATATTAAAGAACTACTTCAACAGCAAATCTTCTGTTCTTCTTTTTTTTGGTGAAGCAACTGTAAATCTTTTCTTATTCGCCCAATATCTTTTTTCTATAAGGTCTATTCTAAAAAATATCATAGTAGGGAAAAATAAGCTAATGTCGGAAAAAAGGTGAGTATCTCAGGATAGCTCATTCTACTTGACGAAAGATTCAGATAACCGCAAGCTTGATGAATCAAGTACAAAGCCTGTCACTTATTGTCTAACAGATCAGTATCAAAGTTAACCACCATCCTCAATCAAACAACAATAGAACCTAATTGTCTGACAATTTTAGTGATTTTGCATCAAAGGAGAACTACAACTTATTTTCGTTAATGAAGATAAAAGTTTAGTAATAAAAGAACATAAAATCAATCACATTTGTGAACTGACAAGAAACAAGAAACTTTTTACCAACATTTTTGGCGCACTTACTTGTGCTCAGATTCATCTTGTATAAATGCATGAAGTGCTTCCACAGCCAAGGAGAATGACAAGAACAATAGGAACAGCTGCCTACATAAGCAATACATGAGGAATATGCCATGTTAGCCCATATAAATGCAATCATACAAACAGCATCTAAAGACACAATATAAAGAAGAAGCAAAATACACTTTTCTTGAGAATGAAGAACAAGCAAGATACATTTGGAGATGGCAAATAAAATTTGCGTGCATTTCTTTCTCCCTACAGGTTGGGTGGGTGTGACAATACGACAAGTAACATGAATGGTATACTGCTCATTTGAGGTTTTACAAGTAGACAAATAGATTAACCTATTGGGATAGAATCCTATACAAAATATATATAGATGTATACACACATGCTGACACACACAACACCTTTCATGTGACAAATTTGATTGTAGTTAGAATTCAAAAAGTTAACTGGACTTTTACAATGATGATAGGGAAATACATTACAGTAGTTCCTGAAGAGTTAATTTTCTACAAAAACGTAACAATTAAATTCTTAATATTTTTGAAATTCTACCCAATAAAATTGGGACAAGGGGAACAGTTAAAGCAATAAAGACACCTGCAAAGCAGGTATTTTTAGCATGTCGGTGCACATGGTGACAGCATGAACATGAGAAGGGTGGAGGCAATCAAGTTAGGACGTGAATGCAGGGTGGTGACATTCTAGAGGGAGGTTCTCAAATATATCTCTAGATCATAGGTTGATATAATACAGATAAGAAAAATAGAGAGAGATCTCCCTGCAATTGAATGAAGAAAACCAGGAAGAAATGAGTAGGATGAAAGAAAAGTGTACATGTTCATTTTCTTTTGTAAATATATGTTCATTTTTAAAAGCATACATCCTTAGTTTCATGTCTTTACACTATTTTCTTCTTGCAGGTCCTCTGCCCTACCCCTTTCTGTCCCAAATTCTTTTCAAATAGCACTGTTACTTTTCCTTGTTCTCTAACCTCATACATTTAAAAAGTAAAATGTAAAAACATAAAGTTCTCCTTTACAAACAAGTTGCATGATATTACCTAAAACTACTTTTTTTCAAACTGTAATATATTGCCTGACAACTACTTCTGAGGCACTAATATGCCGACAATCAATACACTTTCAGAACAGGTACATGAAAAAAGTATGTGTTCAATTTCTTTAATAAGCATATGTTCATTAAATCATTTTTAGTATAGACATCCTTATTTCCAGTGGCGTAGCCACATTGAGTGAACACCCTTCATTGGAATATTATACTAAGTATATATAAAAGTATACTATGTATATAGGTTAAGAATTACTTTTTATAAATATATATTAAACCTTGAACGCCCTTTGTAAAATTTCTGACTTTGCTACTGCTTATTTCATGTCTTACACTATTTCTCCAAGCAGCTCCTCTTTCCCACCCCAAATTGCCCTTAACGACTTTTGTAATTTTTGCTAATCTCTAACCTTTCTTATTTGCAAAACAAAAGTAAAGATAAACGCCTCCAATAAAAAAAGTTGATTGATATTACCTGACAACTACTTCTGGGATCACTAATATGCTGACAACCCTTAAACTTTCAGAACACGTTCATGTAGCAAACTGACACCAAGTTTACCAAAAAAATAATCCTCTATGCTTCTCCTGATTGAAAGATAGATCTCTTAACTGAGGACTCAATGGTGTAACTTTTTATATTTTTGATTGTTGAATGGTGTAATTCTTTATTTACAGGCAATATCCAAGTGATTTGCACGATTTTATTTTTAAAAAAAGTCTTTAACAGATATCGCTTCTTTGACATCCTACCCATGTAAATAGCAAAGCAATACAAGAATTGCAAAAATTATGCAATCCTGAGATAACTGTGTGTGAAAAGACACTTTTATTGGAAGAAGTGGAAGTTAAATGCGTAAGAAATAATTATGATTGTGTCATGTACTTACAGCATTAGTGAAAGCAGACAAGACCTCGAGCCTTTTGTACCTGATGACAACAACAGAAAGGAACATTGAACTAGTTGGTCATAATTGTTCAAATGAAGGTGTTAACTGTTAAGAGATGGATCTTGTGCCTAAATCAACCCCAAAGTTAGCTTGAGAAGTGGGGATTGCCCAAGACCATATAGGCAGACAACAATCCATTTCTTCCAGAAATATGGGACATTTAACACTCCCCCGCATGCACAGAACTGGACATCTGAAGCGTGGACAACATAATATAGAGGTTCTACATTAGGCAAATAAAAAATATTAGTGGGTGTGGCACTAAGACCATGTTAAGAAATGCACCTTTAGGTTTAACTCAATCTCAAAATCTAGCTCAAGATTAAAGATTGTCCAAGACCATATAAGGAGCCAACAACTCGCTTCCTCCACCAATGTGGGACATATAACAGAATGGACTTATTATGAGTTGGAGTGCCAGATAAACTGTTAGCAATTTTCTTAGTTGCAAATGTTAGACAAGCTGCAGAGATATTCTTAATTGGCTTTCTAAGAATTCTAATTGCCTTTCTAAGTTTGTCAAAAGCAATTGAAGTCAAGACCTGATAAAAACAAAGAGGTCTCCTTTTGCCTTTTCTATTTTAGTTTTCCTTTGTCTAATACTTCAATGACCAGCCTAAGTTGCTTTTCCTTTGATAAACACCAAAACTCCTTTAACATATTTACCCGCTAAATATTTCCCATCATGTAAGAAATGTTTGTATCTACTCATTTAACCAACTGCACTAACAAGTCACCAAACTTCAATAATGAGCACGTGAAAAGGATTAACACACAGCTGGGGGAAAATGAGGCTTCACAAACAAAGAATTTCATATGATGATAAAGTTTAACTCTCACCCATAAGTGTAAATGCGGTCGGGCTTTTCTCTAGAAGCGGCCATTGCAAACAATGAAAATGTCAAAAGGCCACAACCAAAGGTCAAATGAAATGCATCTGACACCAACCCTGAAATTACACCAAAATCAAACAAAATTCTACAAAAGATACTAAGCAAGAAGTGACAAGTGGGAAACCAAAGATTCATAGACCGATAAAAATAGGATACTAGATATCATTAGCTATTATTTTCCTTTTTGTTTTATCTTTTCCTTTGATTGTGGTGGGGTGCAATAGGGCAAAGTGGAAGGGAGGCCTACAGTGGGCTCCCCAGTCAATCCATGTTATAACTTGTTGTTGCGTCATTATAGTCACCAACTTCTTTTTTTTCTTTTTCTTTTTTTCTCTTGGGGGATGGCGGATTTTTTTTGGTTGGGTAAATTTGAGATTGCTCATAAGCAATTTCAGTTTGCTTTTAAAGACTTAATAACTGTTGAGGACAGGGGCGGAGCTAAAGGGTGGCAAGGGGTTCAAAATTGTACTGCATGAATGGGGCAAAAAATGAATTTTATTGGTTATATATAAAACTGTTGAATCCCCTTGATATAAGTAAGATTTTAGTATAGTGACAAAGGGGATTTAAAAATTGTTTTAGATCACATGTTCAGATTGTAGGTATGATACTATTACTTTTTAAATCCCCTTGTATGAATTCCTGGTTGAGGAGGAACACCAATAAATGAGCAATCTCTAAGCTCGACGACAAGATGAATTTGAATAACATTGTGAAAATGATATTGTCTTGAAGTTTTTTATTCTGCAAATGAATTGTTTTTAAGACACACACACACATGAAGTTCAGATTTCAACACATTCAGTAGATTATCAAAACATCTACAAGTGACAAAAGACTAAAACTTGCATACCAACTTGGCCAGAGAGAAGGCCAATACACAACTCCGCAGTAGAATAAGCTACATTAAGCGAAATCAACATAAATAACCTCCTCATCTGCTTATTCCCAGACATCACGCCTCGAAAAACCGATAATGCAGATGTAGAAACCCTAAATTTCACATCCGAATCCTGCAACTTGCCAAATGCATCTTGTGGATAGATATTCGGAGGTATATCAATGCTAGAAACAGTCCGAGTGAGCAAAGCCTTTGCGGAATCGTTCGTTAATATGGAAGCCGGCGTGTGATGCTCAGCCGATTGCTGAAACGAACTCTGCCGTGAAAATGCGAATCTCCGATCGCTGCCGTCGAAATCAAAATCGCCGCTCCACGGTTGTCTAGGAGAGTCGGATTCTAATTTCCGGTAATGAAACGACGGCGTACGACTCTGATTCATGTTTGAATCCTTTGAAATGGAACTCTTCTATTGCCTACGGAAAATACTAGAACTCCAAGCTGTATCCATATTCATCAAAAATTTGATGAATTATTCTGCAAAGCTCTAATTCTTCAAAGAGACACAAACTGTGATGAAGATCTGTGATCTAGTAGAGTGAGGAGGAAGGAGAAGTAGTAGGGTTTATGATTATGGAAATGATGGGGAAAGCATGAAGATGGTCAAATGAAATAGTCAAAGTAAACGCCTATGGCCGGAGAAAACTGCCATAATCTTTCCAAAAAATACTTTTTAGGTTTAATTTTAAAAAAAGACAATATCAACTTTCAGTTTACAATTTAAAAGAGAATTGAATTTGAATATATATTATAAAATAATTTAATAAAATTACTATTTTTATATAAATAATTATGAAATAGTAAAATATATATTAAATATTTTAACCAATATAAAATATAATTATATCAAAGTAATAATATTAAATATCTATAATTACTTCTTATTTATATGATTAAATATATCAAAATTCATCATTCAATATAAATTACTTAGATATCAACATAAAGAAGTGAATTGCTTATAGCAGAGAGACTATTCGAAAGAGGAATGTGAGAACGAGAATATAAGTATATTAAAAATTAAAAAGAGAAAATTGTTACCCCTATATTTGCGTACGTGAAAATATGCCATAAGTAAATTGATATAAGCTCAAAAAGGATGAAATCCTTCTACAAGGCTAAGGAAGGTTTATCAAAATATTAGTTAAGTTAGGATGAATGAGACTTTTTAATCATGATTTAAATGAGTTTAGAGTCATATATGGCTATATATGATGTTTGGATATGAAATACAATGTTTGGAAAAAAATCGGATTTAAACCATGGAAAAACCGACTAAGGATTTGTCTTGTAATGAAGCATTTTGAGCAATATATTTCATGTGTTATATGAGGTCTTTTTGGGACACATTATATACCAAAATGAAGGTCTTGGAATCTAGTTTCCAACAGTCCAAACCATTTATTCATACTACATCGGGTCGGAGAAATATGGATTTTTAAAGTAGGGTCGCCAAGTCACGTTGCCACACTTCAGAGAAACTGGCAGGTTTATAGGTCAAGTTGCGACGTAGTTTTCTCCCAATCTATTGAGAGTTACAAGGATATCTTTATATGGAATTAAAGCTCCATGTGTCTAGTTTCTAACGCTGAAAACCGTTTGTCAATACGATATCGGAGTAGAGAGATACACGTGTCCGAAGTTGCACTGCTCAAGCTGACAAGCAGGCAGCTTACCCACCTGCTTGGAGAATTGAGGCGGTGGGCTTATAAGTTGTCTTTATCCATTAAATTTCGTCAATATCCAGAGGTTACTTACACCAAAACACTCTAAAAACTCTCCAAGAACTGGTCCAAGATCCCAATAACCAAACTCAAGGAAACAACAACTCAATTCATCATCAAAGATGTTAAAGACTACAAGAGAATGCCTCTACGGTGTTGTGGTGTGATTGAGGGCTATTGTGAGCTAAGTTGAGATGGGGTTTCGAGTTGTAGCTACTGTCCAAGGTATGTATAACATCTTCTTGATTGTGCCTAAGGTTGATCTTGTGTTGGTTGTGTTGGTTGTGTTGTTTGAGTGAAAAATCATAAGATAGCACTTGAAAGAACATGTGATATGATTGTCTTTTTGGTTGGACTGTTTTATGGCTAAATATATGGTTTGTGGTGGCTGGAAATTGTGAGAAATAATTTGATAATGTTGTGGCTGCTGTTGTTAAGTTTTTCTAGGTGCTAATTAAGATGATTGAAGAATAAAACATGAAAAACAAGTGATTGACGATAAAAGTTAAGGTGCTAGACGTATGGGGCTGTTTTGGAAGGCATTCTGCGGATGTTTTAAATAAGAAATAATATGGTACATAAAAGTATGATGTTCTGAAGGTTGTAAACTAATTTATGGAATAAGAGTTGGATTCAAGTTATATCTTGTTATGAGTAAAAACGAGCTTGTCGCTCAATATGATTGTTAAGATAATCGGAGAAACTCATATTGGATCATATTGTTGTTGTTGCTATTATTGGTTATAGTTGTTGTTGTTGGGCTGTTGATGACCCTTACTGGTCTTTGGGTTGTATTAAAAATAGGGGAGTTGCTGGCCTATTTTCCTTAAGTCATACGACTAGTCAAATACGATGGTACGGCATTATATGTTAACGGCAATATCATTTCACTTGTTGTAGATGCAAGAAGTTGTGTTGAGCTTGGTTGAGTAATAAGGAAGAGATCATACAGGTATGTTAAGGCTATCCCTTCTTTCTTTTGGCATGATCCAAGTAACGATACATAAACGTAATGATATTCCGTAAGTGGTTCTACTCTTAGCAGTTAAGGATGTCTATGTTATTCATTCATGTAAAATGATATTCAAGCATGTCTAAGTATGTTCCTAAGTCCCTATTGAGGTATATGATAAAGATGTTAATGTTTATAATATAGTGATACACGTACATGCATCTTCATGCATTTACCACCGTGTTGCGGCCGGTCGGGCACTTACCACCAGTTGGGCAGTTATGTATTATTATTTACCGTCAGTTGGGCAGACATGCATATTCATAACCACCGAGCTACGGCCGGTCGGGCAGTCATGCATTTACCACCAAGCTGCGGCCGATTGGGCAGTTACATATTTACCACTAAGCTACGGCCGGTTGGGCAGTTACACATTTACCATCGAGCTACGGCCGGTCGGGCAGTCATGCATTTACCACCGTGCTACGGCCAGTCGGGTAGTTACCACTGATCAGTTGGGCAGTTATGCATCATACGATATGGATAATAGTCTCAAAGAGAAGCATCATATATATAAGTATAATAAGTATGTATATACGGTGGCACTTTAGAGATTCAGGTTGATTCTCATATGTCTTTAATTAATGTTGACTTATTGTTATGTTTCAGTTTTGCCTTACATACTTAGTACATTATTCGTACTGACGTCCTTTTGTTGGGGACGCTGCCTGCATGTATAGATAATCAGTTTGACGAGCCCTCATAGTAGACGATATTGGCATTCAGCGAAGGATCGGTAAGACTCCACCTCATTCGGGGTGCAGCCGAGTCTATAAGTCATCGTGTCAGATTTTTGCTATAGACTTATGGGTAGGCCGGTACCCTGTCCCATTTGATGTCACATAATCTTAGAGGCTTTGTAGACGGAGGTTAATTTTTACAGTATATCAGAGGCCTTGACGGCCCATATGGATTCATGTTTTAAGTATAATGGGTTGCTGATACAGTATTTTTCCACTTACAGTTGTATATTACAAGATGTGGCCATGTTGGCCCACGATAGTTATAAAAGAAAAAGAGTTACAGAGTGGTTCGCTCGGGCCAGCATGGCACCGGGTGCCAGCCACGCCTCCCCGGGTTTGGGGCGTGACAAAAACAGAGATGGTAGAAGTTAAAAAAATTAAAAAATCAAATTAATGAAAGATAATTTAGGAAATATAAATTTTTGGGGAGGATAGTCTAGAAAAATTAATTTCATGTTGTTGCTTTTGCTTTTTAGAAGAATTTGTAACATCTTTTCAGAAGTAGAAAAACTGTCCGCTCAAAATCACATCTCCATTTGGCCAAATATCTCAATTTTCAAAAAAATATAACTCATGGTGATCCTCTTTTTCACTCTATATATACGAGGATAAGCAAATTTATTTTGGTCTCTACGAAGGGATTTACCAAGCTACATTAGAGATATTGTTGCAGCAATTGAAGCCTTTAATCGTCACTGAATTGGTTTGTTTCCAAAGTCAATGAAAATAACTACCTCCATCCTTACGAGTTGCGACATATGTAAAGGAGGGTGGTGGGGAAGGTAAAGGAGCAGTTGCGACATGCAAGTTTTCACAAGTTTAGTCTGAGACTTTGAAAGAGATTGAGATTCACATACTACTGTTGGGTTTGAAATTTTCAACCTTGTGTTTGTAGGTAGAGTTTAGTGAGGTTTGGAGCGTCTAATCGGAATATGCCTTAGTTGAGGTGTCTAAGTAAAAGATATTGCCAAGTTTAAGAAGTTATCTATGTATTTAACCTTATTGTTGGGACATCTAGAGTATCCTCCTCCCGGTCTAAACTAAACCCTTTTGATATATTATTTGGTACACATGAACCCACATTGAGAAAATGATTCAACATGTAAATAAAATCAAATTATCATATAAATATATTTTGTGTTTTTATTTCAAATCATATAAATATTTTATGTATTTTATCTTTTGATCATTTAAGTATAATTTATAAACATAAAAATCTCTAGAAACGTTTGATTTTTTTTTGTTATAATGGACCATAAATCAATTGATTCGACTCTCTTTTATAACCAGAATGAAAAAAGTTTAAGGTGAGTTATTTGGTTTGAGGAATAAAGAACATTTACTCAACATAGATAAGGATAGTTAGATCACGCTTTGGATGTGTCATTTGGTTGGATGAATAAATGACATTAATATTGGTATAACTAAGGGTGGTTAGATCACACTTTTGGTACAAGTTATATTGGAGCTTTAGCCACTATTGATTTTTAGTTTGCAAAAATAGGTATTATTCGTCACCTCTTGTCAGTGATGGAGACTTTGTTATTCACTCGATATAGTTGGAGATTTATCATATGAGGTATTTTAATAGTGCAGTTTGGTTGGCTATTTGAGTGTTTGTCGGAAAAATAGTACAATTGAATTTGTTACATGGTTTATAGACATGTGCATTGATTTGATCCAATTTTAATAAATAAACAAGATTAAAAATCAGATTTAGTGGTTAAATTGAAGGATATGACAAGCTTGGCTTCGACAACAATGTCTCTGAGGACAAAAATAAGAGCAATGTAAAAGAGCAAATAAAGTTATCTGATTAAGCTTGAGAATGAAAAGTTTTTCCAAGAATTTCGTGTCCTTACAATGGTTGTTGAGCCTACTATTTATAGTTATACTTAGGAAAACAAGATCCCAGGATCAAGCCCCTCTTAAATGGCAATAAAAGGGTTATTGATGAATATGTAACGGCAGGTCATGAATGCAAATATTCTCTACAACGGTTGTCTATTTAATGTTAGAGAATATTCTTCATTGAATGTTGTCCGATGACAAACATTCGAACTGCTCCCATTGACCAAGCTCCCTTTGGGGTTTATCCGATACTAACTGCAGCTTGTTGTTTCTGGTACTAGTAGTTA